TTTATCCAAAACAAAAAGGACCCCATTTGGGCATAACAAAATGCTTTAACTGGTACCAGAAAAAAAAACTGAATCAAAAATCACCACATAAAAGGTAAAGCAGTAAAGCCTGAGACAAAAAGCAAAGACCAACAGTAAGAAGGGGAGCAACATTCCAGTGCCCACAAATCCAGTCCTCTAAGCAAAGGCACTAAGGGAGAAACTCCAGCTTACTGAGGTGGGTGTTGTCTTGCTCACCTCTTCTACTGCCGGAAAGGAAATACATTTCCTGTAATGATTATCCAGGAACACCAAAGAAGATTCTGGGAGCTTAGGGAGCTTTTGTCTCTTTTGACTCTTGAATATCTTTGACCTTTGACTTTACACCTGTGGTCAATCTACTGACAGAATTGAAGGGTTTGCAGGTTACAGAATCTCATAGTCACAAATCTTCCTCAATGGGAGCCTTGGGACGTCTCGTCTTTACTTCATCTGACCCTTGTAGTCTGAAAAGAAGCCATCAATTGTTCCCTTTACTTTTAACTTCCAAGGCCCAAACCAGAGATCAATCTCACTTCTCTACAACCACACCAAAGAAAGACACCTGGGAGGGTGATTGAAGCAGGGAGAGCAAAACATGACCTTTGTTACTACAGACTGAGTTTGCATCGTCTACAAAGTTGGACCCCCATCAGAGACGCTGAATTCTAAGGATAGGTAACTACAAAGAAACAGACATGAGTTCCTCAGAAGTCTTGGCGATGGCTTGAGCCTTGGCTGCTGGTGATGATATGTCAACGATGTCTAGTGATTAAAGATGGCAGAGCTACTACTAAGAACTACAAAACGAACTGGCCAGACTTCCAACCACCCGAAGAGCAATTTGACTCCAAGTGTCCATTGTTAGACCTGAGAATTCCTGCTTCAAGGTCAACAGATTGAGAGTCACAACAGTGAGGCTGGCTATCATGAGTGCAGGCACCCTGAGTAAGGGGGTGACCAAGCGAATATTGATGAAAGAGTTTCCAAGGTTTGAATGGAGGGACAGACCGTATTTTCAGTGGTAATTATTGCTGTAATCTAGTTTTATTTTTGATTTTGTAAGTGTTGAAAATCAACTTTATTATTTTGTAACCCAAACCAAATTAAGTAAAAAGCAAATTAAAAAAAAATAAAACTACTCCATGAGACAATTTTTTTTTATAAAAGAGTGATCTAGATGTGACTGAAAGATTGCTACCCTGCCATTGCAGGCTCAGTACTTTATCTATTATATATGAGGTAAAAATAACAACATAATTATCTCTGACAGCTATGAGAATAGGCGGCAGTTAAAAGAGAGCAGTATGCTGAGCAATAACCAGAGGAAAATGACCATAACCAGAAAATATCTGTATAGGCAAGAGCTGGATTTAACCAGTATCACATAATTATGTTATCATTTCAGATGCCTGGTGCATGGAACATTTCAACAGTGGACAAAAGTAAAAACAGAGAAATTTCAAAAGATGAATTGTAAACAGAAAAAATGAATAATTGTAAGGAACAACATTGTGACAAATTACCTTGGTAGCATTTAAAATGGGACAGTCTTTATTAATGAGATAGACATGCAGTGTAGGTGAGTAAAGAGGCAGGTGTGGAGCGGTCTAATGCATTTTAAAAAGACAAACTCTCTTCCATCTCAAAAATCTATGAAGTTTCAAGAGTATACAGTTCTTTCTGTATTCATTACAACTAGTATTTACAACTAGAAGTATCTTGAGGAAATGGCTGAATAGGTGGGTATGGAATATATATGAATTTATTCAATATACGTGACTTCTAATGGCAAATCATTAGGGAAAAACCCAAAGTTCATTCACAAAAGTTTCAAGAGATTGTACTACCAGTCATAACACAGTGTTATATGGCTGCCAAAGACAGCGAGAGAATAAACTATTGAGGGGAAACTAGGTTATGACATTTTCTTACATACGATAAAAGTCCAAGACCTGGGAATATAATTCAGTGGCAGAGAATGGGTTTCATCTCCAACACTCACAAGAGCCTGGATTTTATCTCCAACACCTCAAAAAACAAATCAAGGAAAACATCCTCACCAGTTAACGTACGAATTATTTGTCCAGGTCATCTTCCCTAATGGAATAAGAATTATCATACTCAAAAATAATACTCTACAGTTTTTCCTGTTTCAAGAATATATTATTTTTCTTAGAAGAAAACAAGTAATAATAGCTGTGTATAACCATAAAAGTGTTACTTTGATGCATAAATTCAATATAGTAATATATATTTGATGATAATATATCCACATATTACACCCTAGAGAGATCATATGCAGTATTTTATATGAAATTACACATTATGATCTATGAAGTTAATACACTAGATTTCAATGAATCTCTTAAGAATAAAGAAAACCTTAGTTGATTTATGTCTCTATCGGAGGGAGAAAAATGTCCCATTAAGTTAGAAAAGAAGACGTTTTCTGTCTTTGATGATAAATTAAGTCATCCTAAATCATATCCTTGAACTTATATTTTTCCCAAAGGTGCTACCACTGTCAGTTGACATCCGTTCAAAAGTGAATCAGTCATAATTTTATCTTTCAATGGTCCTTAGCCTGGGGTTGGTAAGAAGAAGGCTCAGCCGGTAAAGAGTTTTATGTGTGAAAACCTTAGTTCAGTCTCTGGAGTCCACACAGTGGAAGGAGGCAGCTGACCTCTACAAGATTTCCTCTGACCCATTCCCTTCCCTATACACATACATACACATACACACATGCATGTGTACATGCCCATGCTCACTCGTTCACACAGACACACAAACCTGAAGAAATTGTAATAAGAACTGTTAAAAACACTTAATATAGTATAGTGCACAGCTTACCATATAGCTGCTGGGATCGTGATGGCACAGCAAGCCCTCAACCACTGAGCTGCAGCCCTGACCCCTGTGGAGTTTCTGTTTTATTACTATATCTGTCCATAGTCCAAAACAGAAATTATGTCAAGGAAAGACTACCTAATAATAGCAATTTTCCTCCACTTAAAAGTTAAAAATGCCTGAAAATTGCAATAATAAATACTCTTCTAAGAAAAGATTCAAGTGTGATTAAAATGGAACACTGAAAAATGAACAAATTGATCTTTGCCTTCACCTCTACCCTGCTGATGATTTCAGTATTTTTACAATCTCTTAAACTTAAATAATAAAACTCAATAAAGACATTTTTAATTTCTTTGGAATCGATAATTATGGTGGTTTGAATGAAAATGGGCCCCCAGAGGCTCATGAAGAGTGGCAGTATTAGGAGGTGTGGCCTTGTTGGAGGAAGTGTGTCACTGGGGGCGGGCTTTGAGGTTCCAGATGCTCAAGCCAGACCAAGTGCCTCAGTCTCTCTTCCTGCTGCCTGCTGATCCTGATGTAGAACTCAGCTACTTCTCCTGCACGGCTGCCTGCGTGCTTCCCACCATGATGATAATGGACCAAGCCTCTGAAACCGTAAACCAGCCCCAATGAAATGTTTTTATTTATAAGAGTTGCCGTAGCTATGGTGTCTCTTCACAGCAAGAGAAACCCTAACTAAGACAGTAAGGCTTAGGGATAAGCTATATTAACACCAAAAGGCATAATTTTAAAAGATAAAGTTATAAATAAACAATAGCATTTATGTCTGAGAGCTAGCAACGTGGAAGTTCTGAGCCTGATGAAGCCCATGGTCTTCATATGTAGATCTCTGGCGAGTTACTGCTATGGCATTCGTGTCCTGTTTGGTTTGAAGACATTCATGTTACATGAATCACTTGAGTTGAGTTGGCCACTTTCCCTCTCCCTGAACTTACTAGGGCTTATTGGCTGATTACAACTGTAACTATGGACAGGTGGAATGCTGCGGGCCCAGGTCTAAGCTATCTTAGACTCTCTTATCCTCTCAAATGCCCATTTATTTATTTATTGAGTATGTCTTCTCTGTGTTTAATCTAACATCTTTATTGATTATCAGGCAAAATCTATTTCTCCCAACCCAAAGGCTAAGAACATCATTGGACATTATCTGAAACCTGAAACAGAGACTTCCTCCCTATTCTGTAACCTTATTTATTTTCTCTCATTACAGATGGTTGTGAGCCACCATGTAGTTGCTGGGAATTGAACTCAGGACCTTTGGAAGAGCAAGCAGTGCTCTTAACCGCTCAGCCACCTCTCCAGCTCCTATGCTGTGACCTACCTTACTGATATTCCAGCATTATTTTAAATGCCTTGATTTATAGTTTTCTTTCTGTTTCTATAGAAATCAATCAGATTGATACAGAACATGAACTCTGGCATAATTAAGAATTCCTAGGACATGACCTAGGACATGGAAACTGCCATTTATTAAATAATTCATTGTTTACTTAGGGGTGAGAGCTGTGTTTTCACAGTGTCAAAAAAAAGCAGTGGTTTGGATTGTTGCTGTTGCTGCTAGTGGCTGTCTTTGGTCTGGTTCATCTCTAGTTGCTGTGAAAAACACTATGACTAGAAGTATCTTATAGAAGAGGGTTTATTTATTTTGTTTATACTTCCGAGGCACAGTCATATTGTATTTGAAGATCACACGTGGAGACTGACCCACCTATTCTGAATTAAATTAATTTTCTTTGTACTCTGAAGAGACATGTTCTCTGATGGTGGAAGTCTAGACCGGGACTTATGCAGGGTAGTAACTTGAAGTAGAAACCATGAAGGGATGGTGTTTACTGGCTTTCTCTCTGCCAGCTTTCTTACATAGCCCAGGCTTACACGCCTAGGGATAGTGCCAACCACAGTGGGCTGGACTCTCTCACGTCCATCACCAATCACGTCTCTTCCTCACAGACATAGACACAGGACAATCTGATACATATAACTTTTCAACTGAGGTTTTTCTCTTTCCTGGTGTCTAGGTTGTTTCAAGTTGATAAACCTCTCGTGGTTGAAGGCCGTGGGTAAGGATGAACCACTTATACTGAATTAAATATATTTTCTCTATCCAGACTCTTAATTGAAGAGACCTACACATTCTCTGATGGTGGCAGACAGAGAAACCCTGGAAGAACCTGGCTTCTCATCTGAGCTCTGCCGCACGGGATTACGTGTGGTTCCCTACATCTTCCCGCTTTCATTGATCATGGGGACAAGAGAAAAGCAGAACCACACAGAAGCTAAAGTCCTTTAAGACTCAAGTTCCTACAATTTCATGGCAAGACCCACTGGCAGGCTTTTTCTCTGATCCCAGAAAGTTTTCTCCTTGATGTTCTCAGGCTTTGCGGAGGGCAGTTCCTGTGCTCTGGCACGTCTGAGATGAAAGATTATTTCCTACGTCTGAAGTTCTCAGGAAACAGGAAATGAGTACAGAACAAGGGGGAGGGACGTGAGTGCAAGGAGTAATACTGGGAGAAAGTAGAGGTCCAAAGACCAGCCAGCTGTTAGACTGCAGAACCAGCCAGCGCCACCCGGGGAGCTATTATCAGCGCTTGGCTCCATCCCAGTCAATTGAATTAGAATTTTCCAGAGTAGGCCTGACACTAAGTAAATAAGGACAAAAATAATTAAATCGCCTAGGTATTCCCGTTGCACAGCCAGTATTGAGATCCCCAGAACAAGATGGCAGTGGGAGACATTTGAGGAAATGAAGGAACTAAATCAATTCAGAAATAGCATTATGTAAATAAGATGCTTTCAAAAGCTATAAAAATTAGCAATGTTAACTACTCCTGGCTTACAAAGAAACCAAAACCACTCCTTCACTGAATCTACTGGAAAGCCAGGCTTTCAAATCACTGGGCTGGAAATCACTGTGCAGTACTTTAATATCTGATCTTTATCAGATTTCAGACATAGGTCATTGGGAAATCTGTTTTGAGAGTTATTTCTTTAGTCTGTCTCAATAAATGGGAAAAGGCTGAACTCTGATACAGCTGTTCTGGAGAAATACTTCCCATAAAGCTTTTACATTTTAATTAAGCTATGGATCCCTATGAACAATTTCAAACTTGTAAAAGTTTGCACACATACTTGGATAGTGAAATGCCTGCTTACCTTTTCTTGTATACAATTCATTTGCATATGCTTTAGTAAGGCTGGGAATATCTCTTCTCAATGTTGAAAGAATTAGAGGCCTTCGTTACATTGTAAATCAATAGAGTGGGTAAGAAGTCTACATCCCAGATTATCAAGTGAGACAAAGAATTGGAATACTCTTGGAGAATCAATTTTTTTTTCACCCTATACAAAATCGACTATTTCATGTCATAGCTGTTATTGCAACGGTCACATGACTCTGTTTTCATTTTTCAAATCACTCTAAAGCTGACTTGCACTCTGCTGTTAAGATGGGGAATTTGGGAAGCTGGGGGCACAGAGAAAACCGGCCTGATGCATTGCTGCCCTGAGGAGCTAAAGGCCACATTTTCAAAACTGATGTTTGCACTTCCTGTGATTGACCCAAGAAAGTCCAAACAGCAACATATTATACTTTATCTGTGTTCTGACAAATAAAGCTTGCCTGGAGATCGGAGGGCAGAGGTAGCCACTAGTCAGCCATAGAAGCTGGGCCTTTATCCCAGCACTTGGAAGCAGAAAGCAAGAAGATCCGGAGTTCTAGGGCACCACAGGCTACAAAAGATTGAAACAGTCTAAAAGGGGATGGAGCCAGGCGGTGGTGGCTCATGCCTTTGATCCTAGCACTTGAGGGGCTCACCCCTTTATTTCCAGCACAATCATAAGTAGAGATAGGATCCTTCCCATTCAGTCTGAGATTTTACAGAGATAAGAAGCCTAGTGGCTGCTGCTCTGCTTTTCTCATTAACATCTGATTCCAGATTTTTATTGTTAAGACTAATTAGAACATATGCATAGAAGTTATAGTGATATTTTGTTTGTAATATAACAACAACAACAACAACAAAAAACTTGCCTGAAGGTCAGAGTGAAGAGCTAAGCCACTAGTTAGTGATAGAAGCCAGGGAGTGGTGACACACACCTTTGATCCCAGCAATCAGGAGACAGAGATAGCCGGACCTCTTCTCTATGAGTTCAAGGTCACCCTGAGCTACAGGAGCTAAGGCACCCTTGGGATCACATGCCTTTAATCCCAGCACTATGGAGGTAGAGACAGGAGTATATGGCTGGGCAGAGAAAGGAATATAAAGTGGGAGGAGACAGGAGCTCAGATGTAGTCTGAGGATTCAGTCTGAGCACGCAGTCTGAGGTTTAGGAGAGACAGCATTCTGTCTGAGGATTGGTAGAGATAGGATCATCCTTTCGGTCTGAGCCTTGGTAGAGGTAAGAACTCTCCACTGTTGGGTGCTCTGCTTCTCTGATCTTTCAGCACTAACCCCTATACCTGACTCTGGATTTTTATTATTAAGATCAGTTAGAATTTGTGCTACAAAAAGCCAGTCAGGCAATTCAGAAGTTAACATCATTTGTATTCCATGGGGCAGGTACACTTGTTTCTCCTCACTGTTTTCATTATTGCACAGGGAAAAAGGATCCCTAGACAGATACACTTGGGGACTGTGACATTCTGGCCATCGCTCCTTGGGCACATATTCTAACCTGAACTTCTCTGCTGCCAGGAGCGATAGTTTGAGTTTCCTTCTTTCCAAAGAAGCTAGGAAGCTAGGAAGGAACATTTTTATGCGAACTCTCATTAGAGATAATAGTGACAGTTATTCCAATGTTTTTTCCAGTACCATGTTTTCCCAGTCTTTGTGGATCAAAGACAGGACATCTAACAAGGACCATTCTACATTCAGATTGACAGCTTTATTACATGAAAGTCTCAAATTGCATGCTTTTTCTGCATCGTAAAGAATTTTTACTCCGTAAGAGCCTGTACCAATGTGTTGGCATTTCACTGTGCCTTCTTAATTATGAGTAAAAGTCATGCCTTTTAATATAGTTACTGGAGCTCATTTTGATTATTCTCAACTTTTTATTTAATGCAAACACAATCTTACAGAAATGTCATTGATAATGGTACTTGGAAAACATATGCAAATGTGTTCATTTGGGCCTGAAAGTTCATAGGATCTTCAGATGGCTGTGTGTGCAATGGTAGCTAGCATGTGTACAATATTCTCTGGATTTCAAGCCTGTAATAACTACTTTGTACATGTCAATTAGGTTAGTTTTCATTGTCCACTGAAGCAGGTATTCACTTTCCATCTCTGTACAGATAGAGAAACTGAAACTGAGAAACCTATGTATCCAGTCTCACTTCTCGCACAACTAGTAAGCAACAAAGCCTGGGTTCAAACCCAGGAAGGCTGATGGCAGAGTCCGGTTCTGGCCATTCCTCTTCCAACTGGCCTTTGACACTGAAAAGTGACTCTGAGTCCTGGCCCTATGACCGCACATTGCTATGTGAACAATTGTTATGCAATTGTTATGTGACAGTTACAATGAGATTTTGGACTGTGAGCTTTACATTCCTATTGCACAGCCACGACAGCTAAGTCATGAATCGCTGAAGTGTGTTGTCATCCAAACAAATCTCTGAGGGCATTTTTAGTCCAAAGTATGAAACAAGGAAGACTTTGTTTCTTCATGCTTTCTGATGTCATTTAAAATATTTCATCATCCTAAGATGCACAAATTTAAAGAGACAGTCCTTCTAGGTGTGATAACATGAGAAGAAAAACCAACGAGAAATAGAACCCCGCACTCCCTGCTGACCAGCCCCGTGCCTAGGGCCTTCTTTCTCCATTCTTGTTTGCAGTCCTCTCTCCTTCCCCATAACATCTTAGTAAGTTAAAATCAGAACTAGCCATTTTTGTCAGAAAACGAGAAAAATAGAATATGATTAACTACATCTGAAACTAGTGTCTGAGAAAGAATGTGTTCAGACACACAACTACATATTCGTACCAGACCAAAGACATTTTTAGTATTTTTTCTGTCACATATAAAGCAATGATTGGAGTAATAATGCCTAAACAACTTTTCAATAATTTGCTTACTTATAATTCGGAATGAAGTCATTGTTACTTAAGCAACCCACATACTAATTTAGAGAATATTGATCACTTTTAAAGATGATCATTATTTGCCTAATTTTATGGTTGGGCAAAAAAGAGTGAACATAGGTATAAAAGCACTGTTAGGACATAGGCATGGAAGGCCCTGTCTAGAACATAGGTATAAAAGCACTGTTAGGACATAGGCATGGAAGGCCCTGTCTAGA